TGCATGCAAACACGGCCCCTTCATTCAAACCTTGATTACATAAATGCCTCACCTCTGCATACATTACACGCCCCACTACGAGGGACAAGCTCCTCACCAACTATGCCTCTGCTGCCGCCTTTGCCGCCTCTGCCGCCGCCGCTGCTGCCGACATTCTTTGGATGCTGGACGGTGCTCCACCCGGCCCTCTGCCACCACCGAAGCGCGTGCTGAAAGCGGGCAGTCGTGCCGGTGGTCTATTACACACCACATCTTCGCTAAAGCCGCCTCCCATGCGTGGAGAGAGCATCAACCCTAAGACCTAAAATCACGCCATGCCCTTTCCAGCGCTGCAAACAGCCGTTTACACCCGCTCCCTCCCTTGTCCTCAGCTTCCTGCGCTGTTCGCTCACAACTCCACCAGATCACCCCAACACGCCTACCTACCTCAGTCCCAATCCTCATCTTTTGCCTTGCAGACCAGCCTATCCTCGCTGCTAGGCTCCGAATGATCCCGCTCTGGCTGGGCTGCTTTTCATTGCCATCACTGCAACCATGACCACCATCGCCGCCGCTACCCCGCCGCCTGGTCCCCTCCCAGGCCGCCCAACACGCCCGCCCCAAGGGACCGAGTCTGTAACTGTTCCGGCGGTGTCGCAGGCAGCTCCTCATCATCGTCATCGTCCTCCACATTCACATCGTAGTATCCACCATCACCGCCGTCACCATCATCCTCACCAAACATCTCCGCGTGATCAACCACCATGCGCTCCGCATGTTGCTGCCGCGGCAGCAGTTCCTGAGGCTGCTGCTGTTGTTGCATCTGTCCATCCACGCCGGCTTGTGGAAATACGGCCCATGGCTGCGGCGCCGCTGCCGCGTACAAATCAGCCTGTGGGCCGTGCCGCTGCTGCTGCTGCTGTGGCGGCGGCGGCACAGCGGCGGCGGGGTAGAGATCCCCACCCTGGATCCCACCATTCGGAGGGTGGTGCTGTCCAGCTCCAGCTTCTGCTGCTGCTGCCTGAGCGAGACGTAGATCTGTGACGCTGTAGCTGCCGCCAAAGGACGGGTTCCCGGCGGCCCCTGGGACCTGCTGGCCCCGCGGCTGCTGGCGCCCGTACGGCGACCTGTGAGGCATGCGAGCATCACGTTCCCCCCAGGGGTTGGAAATCCGGGAGCGCACACGTTCAGGAAGCGTACTGGCAGCAGCGGCGGGAGCACAGCGGGATCCTCGAATCTGATTTGCGGTGGAATAAATCTCACCGCAAACGCATCACAAACAGGACACACTGCTGAGTCGCACACGACATAAGCTCAAAAATAGATTCACCTTGACCTGTATTCATCACGTGGCCATCACGAAACGGATGGTCACGTTCACGTTCATCTCTTGAACCGGTAAAAGAAAGCCCCACAGACGAATCAGCTATCGATCAAGGCATGCGCGCGATGTCTACATTCCCGGCCATCTTACCGCAGCATGCCCGGCAGGCCCTCAGGGTCCTGCGAGTCATCGGGCTGGGGCCCCGCAGCGCCATGAGCAGAAGTGGTGGGCCCCGCCGTGTCCGCCAGCGGCGCAGCTGCAAGGAAGGGGGGCCCATCCATGGTGTCATACGGGGAGCTGGGAGGGGCTGAGAGGGCATGGACACGAACACGCGACGGGGGAGGGCGAGTGTGGACTGCAACCCAGCTGCCAGCCTGGTCGCTAACCTGGTGCCATAGGCATGGTGGTTTACAGACTACTCGGACACGTGGCCACACAAACATCAAGCGGGACCAGATGTGACGAGAGGAGCGCGATGCGGAAGAAAGACATGATATTGTTTTTTGGGGGGGAAAGACGAACCACGAACGAGCGATCCACACAGCATAGTCAACAAGATGAAACAGATGATGGCGTCACGCCAACACACCGCCATGCATGCACATGCGCACCTGGACCCCTTGGGAACTGCAGGTACTGCTGCTGCTCTTGATGGTAACTGTGATGATGATGATGAGAGTGATGCCCCGTAGCTGCATGGGCATCGCCACAGCCTCCAGTAGCTCCCCCTCTGACCCGTGGGTCACTCGGCCACTGCAGTCCCAGCGGCGGCTGTCCCTGCCCCTGCCGTTGGCTTGAGTGTGGGAAGGCGGCCCCCTGGACGGGTGGTTGCGAGTGCGGCGGGGGGTGCAGCAGCGACGTGTCCGCTGCTGCCGCAGCTGCCACAACGGGGAAGTCGCCGTGCTGGCCGGCACTGGGGGCTGCTATGGCGAAGGCGGCGTGTCTGGCTGGGTCGTACCGGGGCGGCCGGCCGGTACGGCGCGCGGGAATGTCGTCCTCCAGTCCTGCAGTCCATGCCGCACCGGACCAGCACAGTCCAGGATAGCGCACCGGAGTTACGGTTGCGTACTGACGGGTGGCTCGACCGTCACATGCCGCAATGAACCGGAACATGTCACGTGTGCACATGCCCAACAGCGTCCAGCGCTTTCATGCGACACTCGCATACATGTGGATGGATAGACAGGCAAACGAGGC